TCACTTTTAGGTTAATTAAAAAAGAAAAAATGAATTAATTTTAGATATTTTTAATTGTTGTAATATCATTTTAGTATTTTTAAATGATTGACTCACTTGACTTGGGAAGATTGTATTAAGGTTGATGTCTGCTAAATACAAAACTTCATTAATAAATCCAAAATCACTAAAAGTACCTTTTTGAACACACCAAATAAGATGGTTTAATGCTTCAATACGAAGACGTTCTCCACATTCTATTTCACAATCATTTGCAGCGTCAAGAACAATTTTAATACAACTTTTAATCATTTCTTCATTTCCACTTTTCCATAAATGAATTGTATTTAACACTTCTTTACATCGTTTTGGTCTATTGGCAATAGCCTTGGCATGTTTGGTTAGTAATAATACCATATCATTGTATTCTTGACGATGAGAAAGAAGTTGTACTGCGCCAATAATTTTTTCAAGACACTCAGCTTTGATAAAATCATCTTCTACGATTTCTGTTTCTCCCACAGAAAATTCAAAAAAATATAATGAATGTATATACTGAGCTTTTTCTCCAGCCAACATCGCTTGGAGTGCTAGTCCTATAGCTAATGGAGCATTAGTAATAACCAATTTTTTTATTCTATTTAAGAATCTTTCAAATAAAACATCCCTTTCCATTGCTGATTGTGAATGTATTATTAATTGGAGTTCTACTTCAGCAATGGATTTTAGAGGTACTTCTCCAAGGGCTGTGTTTATGTATTGATCTACAAGAGAAAGAGTTAGTGCACAAGAAGATTTATTAGAAATTTTAATTCGTGGGAAAATAGACAATGCCATACTTAAATCATTTTGTGCATCAATGTCATTTACTTCAGGTTGAAGTAATAACCTTACTGTTTTTAATATAAGAGATGCATCAGAATAAGATTTTAATATAACGTTTTGACGTTGTAAGGATTCAACAACTAATCGAGCAATTTTACGTTCGTTTGAAGGAAGTAAAAGGTTAAGTAAAGTTAAAAATCCATCAACTTTTATTGCATTCAACAAAGGAATTGTTCTTAAAGTAAGTTCTAATGCCATACAAATATGAAATTGAACACCAGTAGGAACTTGCACTGAGCATATACTTAAAATTGACTTAAACAAATGTTCTAATTGTTGGCAATAACTTCCTTTATTATACCAACTAAAAATTATACGAAGAATAGAAACTAACAACAAAGCACCATCATTTGGAGATGTTAATCCACTGTTAACCATTTGAACAACCTTTGCTTGTATTGATTCAATAATATCAAAATGATATTCGGAAGATACATTAGGAAGTTTATCAAGAAATGGAGCTAAACATAATTTTAAATCAATTTTGCACATTGGAGAAGTTAAACCAGCAAGAATTTCTGGCATACAAACCAATTGTAAAGGTACAGGGAATGTTTCTATAAGAATTAAATAAAAGAATTCTTGTGCAGTTGTTGAACACTCAATCACTGTTTTCTGAAGATTCATTAAAATAGCTCTAAATAATGGTGCACTAAGTTCTAAAGAGGATAAATAACGTAATGAACGTAATGCAAGAGTACAAATTGGGGCAGCTTGGTCTGAGACAAGATATTCAGATTCTACCACATGAGATAAAGCACGAAGTGAAATAGCTATGTGAGAAAGAAGGAATTGAATTGCTAATGTTGGATTGTTACTAAATACTGTAATTGAAATAGATAATAAATGATTTAATGCAAATACACGATGAATTGGAAGACTTGCAGTTCTTATTACAGTCAATAAAGCATTTAATGATCTATTTGCATAGTGTTGTCCTTTATGAATAGAAGCAACAGCAACATTCATTAACATGTAACAACGGACTACAGCATCAGATATTTGAAGAACGAAAGAAGTAATAAAGTTCAAATCCATTTTAGTTGCTTGAAGATAAATTTGAAATTCTTCTAAAGGATGAACACAAGTTAAATAAATTTGATAATAACATTGACTTGTTATATTGTATGATAATGGTGTAAGAATATTCGTTAATGTATTTATTATCTCGTTTATTTTATCAAATTCAAATAATTCTTTCAATTGTTTAGATGATTTTCTAATACTACTTAACACAACTTCCATAGGAGGAAGTGAATTTATGTTGTTTTTGTTTGTCTTTGGCATAAAAAATAAAAAAAAGATCTAAAAAGATCTTTTTTATAATTTTTAATTAATAAAACTATAGTTTTACAATTTTCCAAATAACAAAATTAATTGAAAAATTGTGTCATTCACAATTAATTCTTTTATTTCTTTTTATAAATTGTAAAGAATTATTTATTGTTATTTAAAACATATTACAACACTATTGAAATGTTAAATTAAATCATTATTATTTTTTTAACCAAGAAGATTTTTCTTAACAAAGATTCAACATAAAAAGTTTCAATTTGTGTATTTTTAGTTATAAAAACTATTTTATTTGATTTATTCTTTTTTAAAAAGAATAAATAAAAATAAAAAAGTATTTTGTATTATTTTTATATATTATAATTATACTTCTTGTTCTTAAGTCTCAAAGACTTTCTCCTTTTCAAAATCTTATGATTTCTGTTAAATTTGTTGGTTATATATGAAATAGACATTGAAATAAACAAATTATATCTATTCAATTTTTTTTTGTTACGTTTATTTTTTTTAATATTGGTTTTACAATAAAGATCACCTAAAAAATAACTTGACTCTTATTATTAATTTCATTGATTTTTTTCTGAAAATTTTATTTAAAAATAATTCTGTTAGTTAGATAAGTGATTGAACAAAAATAAAATAGGTTGATTGATATTTATCATCATTACTAAATAGTTTCATACGTTTAATATTTTTTACTTAACTAGAATTTAATAAGAGAATTGAATAAGAAAACAAATTTGTTAAATATGTTTTTATAAATTATTTAGACGTTTTGAAATATTAAAT